CCCCCATGGAACCCAATGGCCCGCCTCCTCAAAGCGGCCGAGAAGCGACAACTCGGGGATCCCCCGCATAAAGGAATCGCGCAGCCCCTTGAAGCCGCTCGTCCTTCCTCTGCCGGCGGGGGAACTCACGGCCACTGCTTCTCGGCGGGCCTCCGCTTCCTCGGAATCGGACTTTGGAGACTGGCTCGATTTTTGATTTTTTACTTTTGCACGAACCTTTTTTTTCCTGCCTGCCTGGCTGAGAAAACCTGAGAAACGCGAGGCTCTTGAGGTTTGGGGGGGGCGGTGGGTTTTCTTGGCAAGCCCTTTTTGCTTTAGCTCGGGCCAGCCCCATTGCCCAGCCTTTGGAGATGATGGCCGGCCTGGCACCCCTTGCCAGGCTGCTGCTGGTGGTGCTGCTGGACTTCCTCGCTCTCCACATGGCATGGCGGGCGCTGAGCCCCCCACCTTGGGGGAAGCCCCTGGTTGTCTCCTGGGGGGCGGCCCTGGGGCGATGCGGGATGCTGAGCCTCTCGGCTTATGCCACCGCTGGCTCCCCCGGGCACGGCCTCCCCCGGGCGCTCAGAGATGCCCTCTTCCCCGTGGCTGCCCTCCTGAGCTTCTTGGTGCCCACCTACACCACCTTGCGGCACCTCCTGCCCTCCCTGGGGGAGGCCCCCGATCTGGTCCATGGCTGGGGCAGGGCCGATGTTTTTGCCCTCAACTATGGCATCGTGGGCGCGGTGGCCCTTCTGTGGCATCATCTCCTCCCTCCCGGGCAGGGAAAGATGCCCAAGAAACCATCGGCATCACTCCGGCGCCTCCTGTCCAGCATGAGGCCAGAGGCGCTGCGGTTTCTGCCCATCCTGGTGTTGCTGGTGCTCTCCTCCTTGGGTGAGTGTGTATTGTGGAGGTGTGTATACAACTGTGAGTCTTGTGAGGGTTAAGATCATCAGGGAGAGAGGCCTTTCTCTCAGTCCCACCACCTTCACAGGTGTGTTTGCTGGGGACACAAAAAAGGGCCTACTTTGTGGCTGCTCCCTGACTCTGGAACTCCCCGCCACTGGAAACCAGGCTAGACCCATCTTTGCTGCTCCTTCTGCAAGCAGGCCAAAACTCTTCAAGCAGAGACGGGCTGCCTGAGTGGGGTTTTTTTTAAAAAAATATATATGTATTTTATTACTTTGAAAGTGTTTGGGTATTATTTTTATTTACCATTTAATAATATTTAGAGTATTGTATTTGTTTGATCCTTTTTAGTGTTTTATATATTTACTCTTTTGAGCCTCAGGATATTGTCCTTTAATAATGTAAAGCACCTTGGGTCGTTTTAAACGACAAAGGCAGGGTGAGAAATATTTGAAGTAAATAAATAAAATGATAAACAGGCCTTCTGCAGTGCCCTGTTTATGGAGAAGCTGCCCTATGATGATGGCTTTCCAAGAAAAGGTATTTTGACTAAACCTTAGGAAGAACTTCCAGTTGGTAGTAGCAGTTCTGTGGGGGAATTCTCATTGACTGGAGGTTTTAAAAGAAATTGGATGGCTATCTGCTTGAGAAATTACAAACTATGAATTTCCTGCTTCTTCAGGGTGCACTTCTAGGTTTCATACCATAGTTTTTATTGTCCTCTTGGTTCACTCCTGGCCTCTTCGTCCACCAAAAATTTAAAAAAATCTCAGATTTTTCCAAGATGAAAATGAGATTAGATGAAGGTGGATTTTCTTGCAGTGGCAGTGGGTGGGTAGATTGTAATTCTTTAATTATGTGGTGAGAGAACCAGATTAAACTCACGTGGGTTACTGTAACTACAGTAGTTACAGTAACCCACTGTAACTACTATACATGTGGGTTACTGTAGTTACTGAAACCCACATGTAGTGATTTTCAACACTTCCAGCTAAAAAGGGAGTTCCAGGGGAACAGGAGATGAAGAATATGGTCAAAACAAAAATATTTCCTATGCAGCCCACTCTTCTGGCTGAGGAAGTGGTCCGTATGAAAGCCTTCGAGAATACACCCACTCCCAATTGTTTGGCTCCCCCAGGAAATACATTTCCAGTTGCTTACCCCTCTTGTATATTTACTCAAAAACAGCACATTAGATGTCCTGGGCATTCATTTCTCCCTAAACATGTCAGTATTAGGATTTTTTAAACCCCCCCCCCCAAAAAAAATCACTTATGAAATCTGACTTTTGGCAGGGTGCATTTGATTGCAATTTAAATTTTAAAATATCAGGGTTTTTGATGATTTAAATATTTTTTTTAAATTTAAATGGTGATATAAATCAATTCAATTTTTTAAAAAAATATCATTGACTTTTATCCACCGTGAGATGCGGCGCTTTTATAACTGTATGCTTCTCTGTCTCCCTGTCTATAATAAGCCAGCCGACAAGGTGATTTTTACTTTAGTTACACACACACCTGTACAAAAACATACAAACATATGCACTGAATTTAAAGACGTCAGCCGATAACGTGTGCAACATTTACATGTGTGCGCGCATGGAGCTTTATGTGCGTAAAAATAATAGAACCAAGATACTGTCTGTTGTCCATTTCTGGCTCGTTCAGCGGATAGATGGGGTAAATAATTTCAGACTTGGGACGTTTGAGCGCCCGCGTGGCTTTGCAAATTCAGTGGCCTTATAAAGCTATGAGCTCGTCCTGCTGAAGAAATCTGAAAATGGCGCCGGCTGTAGGTTAATTTCATCAGCTCCAAATCATAAGAATTAGAAAAGCTCTTTTGAGAGCCAGTGGGATTGAGTGTTGAACTAGAATTAGGAGATCTGGGTTCATATTCCTGCTGGGCTGTAAAAACTGACGACTGGAGGTGACCACGGTAAACCATGCTGTGCGAATCTCATGTCTCACAGAAAATTGGTGCCACAGGTTGTTGGAAGCAACTTAACGACCTGCAAGAGACGCACAAAAATTTGTGTATACCTTTAGAACTGGTTGCTTGTTTTTTCTGGGGGAAGAGAGTAAAGCACCAGGTGTTTAAGATCATCAAAGGAGGCATTTCACATCACCACATCACAGGCTCATTTGGTGGAGACACAGGAGAGGGCCTTCTCTGTGGCTGGTCCCAGACGTCCTCCCACTAGAGGCCAGGCTGGTCCCATCTTTGGCATCCTTCCGCAAGCAGGCAAATGACCTTTCTCTTCAGACAGGCTTTTCTTTAAATGACTGTCTGGCTAGGAGAAGTTTTTAAATGGTACGGTTTGTATCTGGTTGCTTCTAAATCTGTTTTTCGTCATGCTTTTACCTAACATTCTTAATATACTGTTATTAATTATTTTTTAAATATTTTAATAATTTATTGTTGTTAGTGTTTTAATATTTTATTTTTGGTTATGCAGACTTTTACATCCTTTTTTAAAAGGATGTAAAATGTCCCTTTTTAAGGAGAAAGCTGAGGTAAAAATGTTTTGAATAAAAAAATTAAAATATGCAAATATCATCCGTATTTAGTGAGAATGTTATTTTAGAAGAAAACTTATTTTAATTGTCATGAGGAACTCAAAGTTATTTGCATCTCTCCTCCTTGTCCAGAGTCCATGTTTACTTTTGATGCTAATAAACAAGGAACCAAGTACAGCCGAGTCATAATTAACAGTGACTCCTGTTACACTACCTTTCTTTCGCTTTGTGAATTCCCTAACCTGCGCTTTTATCTGTAAATTGTCCCACTCCCCTACCTAGGAGTCCTGAATTCATCCCCTTGTGGTTTTTTTAATTGTTTAATGCTATTTTTTTTAATTTTATTTTATTAATTTGGATAAATATTAGTTACACACACCTGTACAAAAACATACATATTAATTTGGATAAATATTTAGATAAACATTTGGATAAATATTTAAAATTAATTTTATTAATTTGGATAATATATGCATTCATCTATTCTACACCTTCATATATTGCTATATACTTTTTCCTTCCCACCTTCCATTTCCCATCCCCACAGTACAATCCTATCCAAATTCATATGAGCCTTTTGTGGGATAGTTGTAATCCTCTTCCAAATCTATTATAAAGACCAATACATTCTATACACATGGGGGCCATGGCTTATCGTGGGTTGCCATCCTCTGGGGCACGCAGAGCAGGGCAAGTATTGTGAAGTTTGGGCCGTGTACCACCATGCAAAGCATGGGCAGGGTGCGGCTCAGGGGCGGGGTGGGCCCCACCCCTGAGCCCCCTCTGGTGACCCCCACACTCTGCACCACTGTCTGGGGGAGTACCTTTTTACCTGTTCCATTCATAAACAAGGAAAGTATGGCGCTCAATTTCAAAAGAATCCAAACAATATTTGTAATCGTTTTTATGAAGTAGACATATGTCTAGAAGGGCAGGATAAAAATCAAATAAATAAATAAATAAATAAATAAATAAATAAATAAATAAATAAATAAATAAATAAATAAATAAATAAATAAATAAATAAATAAATAAATAAATGTTTTGTCCCTTTAGCTTTGTGTAGCTCAGTGGTTAACTTTTTTCCGTCCCCCTCGTCTACCTCAGGTGAGATGGCGATTCCTTACTACACGGGACGGGTGACCGACTGGATTGTGACCGAGGCCGGCTCTTCGGCCTTTAAGAAGGCCCTGTTGATTATGTCACTGCTGACCGTGGGCAGGTAAGGGGGCAGGTAGGGGGGCACTGGGGAAAGATCAGTGGGAGAAGTATAGTGGAAGGATGGGTATAATAGGGAGAAGAGAGTAAGCGAACAGAGACCCCCCTACACACACCCTGTCTGATCTCCCTCAGTGCCGTGGCAGAGTTTCTCTGTGACTGCCTTTACAACGCCACCATGAACCGCTACCACGCCCGCCTCCAGAGTTCTGTCTTCAGATCCATCCTCCACCAGGAGATCGGCTTCTTCCATGTGAACCGGACAGGTAATCCACCCAATCGATGGCCACTCCTTCAGCTTTGAAGCAGTCCATTAACAAGTAACTATGTTACCTATAAGATGGTGGCTGACATCCTGTTGCTTAGGGTTGTCAGGAGCCCTACAGTAGGCCTACTCAGTTTGCATGATGAGGAGAGAGGTGAATTTTTTTAAAAAGCCTCAACCAAGAGGGACCACAGGAGAAGACTATAAAGGGGAAAGAGATGACATGGTTAATGATGATGATCATCATCTTAAAACTTCAGAGTTGGAAGGGACCCGATGGGTTCATTCAGTCCCTGTCAAGGAGGCGCCAAGCGGGAATTGAACTCTCAGCCTCTGGTTTTGCCATCAGATTCCTAAACCACGGAGTTATCCAGCAGTTGATGTATCATGCCATGAAGGGAAGCAAAGGGCAGGCAAAAGATGGAGTTATAGCTTCCCTGAGCTTCCCTTCACTCCGACTCGGCCCTCTCCTTCCCACCACCCAGGGGACATCACTTCCCGAATTACAACCGACACCGACGCCATGAGCGACACCCTCACAAGCGACTTGAGCCTGCTGATGTGGTACCTGCTGAGGGGGGTCTTTCTCTACGCGATGATGCTGTGGCTCTCGGTGCCCCTCGCCTTGTTCGTTACGGCAGCCTTGCCTTTCATCCTCCTGATCCCAAAGCTCTCTGGGAAGTTTCACCAGGTAACGAAAACAGCAGCAAACAGTCCCACCACCCATAATTTGACAGCGGGACGATGTCTCTTGTTAAGGTCCAGCCAGCCTGGCATCTCAGAGGGTTTGAAATGATGGTCAAATGCGATCACAGGTACTATGGTCAATTATCATTAACAGGGTCTTGGTGTCTCTGAGAACTGGGAAGAAATTTGGCCAAACCAAAATCTGATCCACAAACTCACCTTCTTCCTTTCCAGAACCTGGCTCACCAAGTTCAGGAATCTTTAGCCAAAGCCAACGAAGTGGCTGTGGAGACCTTTCAGGCCATCTCCACCGTGCGCAGCTTTGCCAATGAGGACGGGGCGGCTCGGCGCTATGAGGAGAAGCTGCAGGAGACCTACAGGCTCAACAAGTGGGAAGCCTTCGCCTATGCTGCTTCCATGTGGACTAGTAACGTAAGGGACACTGTTGGTTTCTGAAAGGGTGTTGAGTTGGGAGGAGAAACCGGGTAGACGTTGGACTCCCAGGTCCTCCCTCCAGAGAAAGAATGGAGAAGGAAGGTGTGGGATTCCTCACTAAAATCCACTTTCTCTTTCTTCAGTTCTTGGGACTGGCTCTCAAAGTGGGGATCCTCTACTATGGAGGGCACCTTGTCACCCTCGGGAAAGTGAGTAGCGGGCAACTGGTGACTTTCCTCCTGTATGAGATGGACTTCTCCACCGTGGTGCGGGTGAGTCTCGGGTGGCCTCTGTTCTGAAGAAGACGAGTTAGGGTGGAAGAAAGGAGGTTCTAGAGAGACTGGGCTAACACTCTGAAAATAATTTTGTTGTTTCCAATCGATTTCCCCCCAGTAAAGAAGGAATTAGATTACAAGTGATAACCTCCCTTCCTTTGTGCGTTAATTGTTAGGGGTGTGCCCTCCAGATGTTTTGTCTCCCGGCAGGTTGCCAGGCAGATTCCCTTTTTTAAAAAAAGGAAGCTAGGCCTTGAAGCCAAGGCATGAAGCCTTAGAGGCTAGGCCTTTCTCCAGGCAAGCGAAATTCAATTGTCTGCAGTGTGGGTCTGCTGGTGGAACTCCTGGAATGGAGAATTCTGGGAGGGATCATCCAAAAAAAAATCTGAATAGTACAAAATCACATGGTTCAAGCGCTGTAACTATTTATGTTTTTGAAAAGTAACTTTCCAAGCTCGGATTGTTCCTCACCGTTCCCCTTTTATTGCAAACATCTCCTTTTCTCATCTCTTCCCTTCCTCTCTCTCCAGGTCCTCCTCGACTTTTACCCTCACGTACAAAGAGCAGTGGGTTCCTCCCAGAAGGTTTTTGAATATATCGACCGAATTCCCGAGATCAACTCTTTGGGCACGTTGGCCCCCGAGGATTTACAGGGACACGTTGTCTTCAAAAATGTCTCCTTCTCTTATCCTAACAAGGATAATTCGCCAGTGCTGAAGGTACAGTGTTGGGCCAGGGGGATGCGGTGGCGGGGAGTCAAAGAAGATCATACTCTGCCGTCTTCTGCCTGGAGTCAAAATTCAATTCACATTGTCCGGATGAATTTTGGCATCGGCAATGAGAGCAACAAAGGGACAGAGCATCCCTTCCTCCTCCACCACCTCCTCCCTGTAAATTAGAAATTAATTGAAGCTGGTGAATTTTTGGACCCATAGGCTTTCCAACGCTCTGGCATACTTGGAGGGGGGGCTGCAGCCTTAGAACAGTGGGGTCACATGACCAGCCAAGAGGAGGAAATAGAGGAAAGGGGTGGTGCCAACACAGGTGAGGCAACGGGTGCCTCTCAAAGGAATTGTGCAAAATGTTTAACCTGTGATTAATAATTCGGTCTCATCCAGTTGCATTCAAGTCATGGCAACCCTTGCTGGGATTTTATTCAAGGAATAAATGATTCAGAAGTGGTTTCCTGGAATCCTTCTGGGAGGCTGCGTTTAGTTCAGGGCTACCCAGGTGGCAGGATGTGTAGACCCTATGGGGCTATATATGTATTCCCTCTAGTTCAGGGGTTCACAACGGTGAGTCCCCAGATGTTCCTGGACTGCCATTCCCAGCTTCTGCTCCATGTTTTAGTCCGAACTTTAAAGGCTGTCTCCTTCTCTCTGTGGTGCTGAACTTTAACCCCCAAACAGGTTCAGCACCTTGAGCAGCTATTGTAAAGTTCAGAGTGAAATTTGACAGGTTCACGTCCTCCCACAAAATCAGGACCTCCTCTTGGCCCAAATTCGAGCATGGTCGTACCCTTCCTTTCTTCTCAGGGGGTATCTCTGGAGCTCAGGCCTGGTACAGTGACTGCCCTGGTCGGTCCTTCCGGGGCAGGGAAGAGCACCGTGGTGGCCCTGTTGAAGCGATTCTATGAACCCCAGGAAGGCCAAATATTGCTGGACAGCAAAACACTGGGTGACTATGAGCATCATTTCTTCCATCAGAAGGTAAGTCAGGGAAAAGATGCTACCTTTTTCTTCTTTTTTTTCTTTTCTTTTTTTTTACAAATAAAGCAGTGACTTGCAAACATGTTAGGGTTTACAGCTAGAGCACTAAACTAGGGGGAAATGCTTTTTAAAATACAGATTACAAATTGCTGTGCCGTTGTAACCCTCTGCCAGACAAGCAGAAGGCAGGCAAAAAGCGTTCACCATGCCCCACATTTTGCATGATGCAAATTTATGCCCATTGATCAGGTCTGCTCGCCATGAGCACTAATGTGATCAACAAAATAAACATCAAAGGAACCGTGAGAATGGTGATGGAAACTGGAGGATAAAGGCGGGTCTAACAGCTCCCTGATTTGGAAGGAAGAATCTCTCCATATACGGGCTTCCTCCTCCTCCTCCTCCTCCTTCTTTACAAATAAACAGTGACTTGCAAACATGTTAGGGTTTACAGCTAGAGCACTAAACTAGGGGGAAATGCTTTTTAAAATACAGATTACAAATTGCTGTGCCGTTGTAACCCTCTGCCAGACAAGCAGAAGGCAGGCAAAAAGCGTTCACCATGCCCCACATTTTGCATGATGCAAATTTATGCCCATTGATCAGGTCTGCTCGCCATGAGCACTAATGTGATCAACAAAATAAACATCAAAGGAACCGTGAGAATGGTGATGGAAACTGGAGGATAAAGGCGGGTCTAACAGCTCCCTGATTTGGAAGGAAGAATCTCTCCATATACGGGCCCATTTGCCTTTCTCCCTTCAGGTGGCGCTAGTGAGCCAGAGGCCCGTGCTCTTTGATCGCTCCTTGCACAGCAACATTGCTTACGGTTTGGGAGAGAGGAGCCGGAAGGAGGTGATGGAGGTCGCTCAGCGTGTAGGAGTGGATCAGTTCATCGCCAAACTGAGCCATGGCTATGACACAGGTAGGAAGAATTCTCTCCATCATCCCTTTCCTTCCTCAACACTGCTAATCCCCAGCCATTCCTGGGAAAGGATCTACAGAGCCCCAAAGTAACCCAAAGAAGCGTTTTGACTCTTGTTTTCCTAAGGAACAACTCCATTTCTGTGACTTCTTGCAGATGCTGGGGACACAGGGGGCCAGATCTCAGGTGGACAACGGCAAGGGATCACTATCACACGGGCTTTGATCCGAGACCCTAAAGTGCTTATCCTGGATGATGCCACCAGCGCCCTTGACACAGAGAGTCAGCAGCAGGTGAGTGGACTCACCGGTTCATTGTTCCAAGGACTTACAACCCCTTAAGTCTTCCAAACTGTGGATCACAAGCCTCATTGAGTGGTAGTACTATTGGCAGAGTGTAGAAATTGCTGGCTTAAAAGGTCTAGCTACACAGAGAAGGAGAAAAAATGCAGACAGGGACCTACAGAGCAGATTATTATAATTACAAATCTCCCTGGAATAGACCACCTCTTATTGTTGGTTAGTTCTACTTCTACCGGCATTGTAGTCTCAATAGATTCAGTCAGAGACTCTGATATTAAGAAAGATACATTTTAAATTCTATTCTACTCACAAATCTTCATATATATCAAAAAAACAAAAAAAATTACTTGTTACATAAATAGAGCTTAACTGGTTAACTTTATTATTTCATGTTTAGTTTACATAAACACTTCACTCATCAGACTCGTAACTACTGACTCCATAACTGTCAGACTCTTAATACCAAATAGAATACTAACAGAAACTGACTGAACTCTTGAGTTAGGAAAAAAGGTGGGAAAAAGCATCTGAAGTAGAATGGAAACAATTGGCTGCTACTGTGTGATTGACCTTCAGCCCCTGAAGTCCCTTCAATCCAAACCTCTTAAAGGTATAATATGCAGTTTGCTGGATTCCTGTATATATCATTTCTCCTGTTTAGATGGAGAAAGAAATCTATGAAGGGAAGGATCGCAGCAGGCGTTCTGTGCTGCTCATTTCTCACCGCCTGCGCAGCGTGGAGCGTGCCGATCTCATCCTGGTTATGGAGGACGGGGAGATCCGGGAAAAGGGGACCCATGAAGAACTGATGGCTAAGACGGGGGCCTATTGGCAACTGGTGAAAAGACAACAGAATGGGGGGTGAGCAGCAACACCCCCCAGTGCGAACAGCAGGCATATTTAGTTGGAGACTTGAATTAGCTGAAGACCCTGGTGTCACTCTCTTCCGATTTGGCAGGGTTGATGGAACTATGATGTCAGTCTCCACATCCTGGGCTAATGTAAATACACTCTTCTTTCATGACTTCTCAGTACTTTGTTGCTACTTTAGCCAAGGCATCTCAGTCCCCTGCCACCCTTCTGCCAGACAGGGACTGCCACCCCTCTGCCAGACACCCTTCTGCCAGCGATAGGGACTTCTGATCCCATGTGCCACACCCTCCTTGGGCTGCCTTGTTCCTTCTGAGCTCAGCTACAATAGCTGGGAAAGAATATGGTTTTCTGAGTTGTCGTAAGTGGCTTCTCTTGCAGTCCAAAGTAGCTGAGGCCATTTGGTGCCAAAGGGACTGTTAGGAGCCGTTGGTTTTACAAAAGACCTGCGCCTTGTTTGTTTAGATGGACTGATCCAGTTGCGGGCCATTTTGGACCCTCTTTTTTGGGCCGTGGTTCTGGGGACTGCCCTGATGACAGCCTGCTGTTCCAAAGTTGCCACTGACACCCGTGGGAAGAGAATGGCCCAGTGTTTTCTTTCAAAAAAAAAAAAAGGGTTAAGGGTTGCTTTCGAAATCTATGTATTGCCCAACCCTGATTTGCTGCTCGGGGAGGAACATGTTTTTCTATCTTGAGGCAACAAAGTATTTGGGACTGACCAAATTTCTAGTTTTCTTTCCAGCTGGTTGATATTCATGGAAATGCACTGAAAGAGCTTAGAAAATCCACTTCTGGGAAATACACACACCCGAATCATCCAAACCATCCTAGCAGCTAAGACAGGAACCAGGGCTTTTTCTGTTGAGATCTCTTTGCAATTGTGCATGGTGTTTTTCTTATTTTTTATATATCTATTTAAAAAAAACTTAATTTAATTTTATTTTGTTTTTGGTATGGATAGAGACTTCTTTATTCAGCCAGGCTTTTTAGAGAGCATTTTCTTTGTGTCTTGGCCTGTTGGTTGTCTTTCCTGTATAAATCCTGTTCCTGCTTCGAATTTTGTAAATGGCTTTGGGACAGGTACAGACTAGAAAAATATTAAGTGTGGCAACAGCTAATGTGAATAGTCATTAAATAAAACATGTTCACAAGCTGCATGCTGTGGCTGCTGCTCTTTGGAAAAATCACCTTTGCTTCTTCAAGGCTTTTCGGAGCAAAACCCTCTTAAAACCAGCAGATAACCAGCAAAGAGCACCATTGTCTCCTCTCGAAACTCCTGCACACCTTTGCATGAAATTTCCGTTTGTCTTTACCTGGGTCTTCTGTGGACACATTTTGTTCCGTCTTATAATAGAATGTAGAGTCATCCCTTAAAATGTGAAACAGGCAGAGCATGGAAGCTGAGATGGTCGTGCCATGAGAAAATCTGTGATTCTCCCCACCCTTATTTTCCCTTCCTCATACCTGAGATTTTAGGAACTGCTCGAAACGGCAAGGAAAATGTGTTGCTGATGGGTCATGTGCCCTGTTATGTGAATGACCTTGACCAAACTACATAGGAGTCCAATGAAGACAGCCTGGGGCACAGTTTCTAAATACTTTATGCCAAGAAAACCATATGTTTGTGTGTGTGTTCCCAAGTGTTGGAATAAACCTGTTGGCACATACTTGTTATTAGTATTGGACTTGCTTTGTTTTCAAGAAAACCTTGTAATGTGTGTGTATATCTAGAGAAGTGGGTGCCTATTTTCTTGTGTGTGTGTGTGTGTGTGTGTGTGTGTGTCTGTCTATCTCAAGAGGCAGTAAAAGCGACAAACACTCACACAATACCTTTGTTTTTACACACACACACACACACACACACACACACACACACACGCACACACGCACACACGCACACACACAGAGAAGCTGCGGGCCAGATCGGGAATCCTTGGATGGATCAAATCAGCCCTCTCAATAGGCAGTGAAAGCGACAAACACTCACACAATACCTTTTTAAACAAAGGTATTGTGTGAGTGTTGCTGATTTGATCCATCCAAGGATTCCCGATCTGGCCTGCAGCTTCTCTTTGCCTCTTACAAGCGTTGGATATAATACTTTGCTTTTTGACCCCATAACTTGATAACAAACAGTTATTTTAAGAAATGAAAAAGAAACACAATTTCAAGATTTTCTTTTTAGGTATTATCTTACTTTTGTGTGTAATAATAATTTGTGTCCTCAAGTCAATTCTGACTTATGGCTACATTTTTGTGATGCTGGAGGAGACTCTTGAGAGTCCCCTGGACTGCAAGGAGATCAAACCTATCAATTCTGAAGGAAATCAACCCTGAGTGCTCACTGGAAGGACAGATCCTGAAGCTGAGGCTCCAATACTTTGGCCATCTCATGAGAAGAGAGGACTCCTTGGAAAAGACATTGATGTTAGGAAAGTGTGAAGGCAAGGAGAAGAGGACGACAGAGGACGAGATGGCTGGAGAGTGTCATCGAAGCGACCAACATGAATTTGACCCAACTCCGGGAGGCGGTGGAAGACAGGAGGGCCTGGCGTGCTCTGGTCCATGGGGTCACGCAGAGTCAGACATGACTAAACAACAACAAGAAAAATCAAACAAATCACAAACTTTTGCAGAGGAATCCTGCTTCGTCAGGCTGGGTACCAACGCTTCATGGACAATGCAGCAAAAATGTAGCCAAATCCAAAGCTTGATGACCCACTCTTACAGTTGTGTCGTCTTCATAATGGTGGTTTCCTGTGTGGGATGAAGTGAACGCTGTCAGATGAAGGAAGTAGGAACAGTTATTGTTAGGACCAGGCAAAGATGCTGACTTGGGTAATGCCATTTTTTAATCAAATCATTCACAAATATTTAATGCACATATCCATGGTCACAAATAGTCTTTGCTGAAATTCAACAAGAATTCTGGCCTTTTGGCAGTTAAAAAAATCCACCCTGGCACACTTCATCCTCACAAACACGTGCTATTGTATCAAGTCACGGTGCTGTGTATGCAAAGGGCAGACGGAGGAACTTTCTGCATCATCATACGTGGACTTGTGAGGCATCCCCAACTTGGCTGAAACAATCATGCAGGCGAAACTTTACAGCCGACCTGTGGAAATACAGTGGACCCTCGACTTACAGATGGCTCGACTTACAGACTTTTCGAGTTACAGACTTCTCTGGCGGCAAAATTTAGATTCGACTTGCAGCCAGAGAATCGACTTACAGATCAGAAAAAAACCAAAATGGAATAAAAATAGAATAAAAACCACTGGTTATGGGATTAATCAGTTTTCAGTGCATTGTAGGTCAATGGAGATTCGACTTACAGACTTTTCGACTTGCAGCCACCATTCCAATACGGATTAATTCCTTAAGTAGAGGGTCCACTGTAAGACATTGGCAGGCTTTGAAGCAGGCTTGGTTTTGCAGACACGGATGATGTGGCCGGGGCACTTATTCTTCATAAGATTAACATTATTTGGAAGGCCGTGCAAGTGGAATCTCTTTTGACATATATTGTGCATATTTTGTGGTTCCCCTTCTTCCATATACCTCAACAAAACCCACACAGCACCGCTTAAATCTGAAGTGTGTGTGACCCAAAATGGCGGAAGCTGCTTGGCTTGTCCTTCTCCACAGAGGCTGCCTTCCAATTAAATGTGGGTGAAGGTCAGAGTTTTAAAATAAGATTTCTGCTAATGAGCAAGGAATGTTTTTAGGCTCTGGTGGAAAATGAACCAAAACAGAAAGGGGGAGCTGCTGACTCCCAATCCCAGGTCACCCAGGTGTTTCTGGACTACAACTCCCAGAAATCCTGGCCAGCACAGCGAGTGGGGAAGGCTTCTGGGAGTTTTAGTCCAAGAACATCTGGGGACCTAAGGTTGGGAAACAATGTACGCTTAATACACTTAATACATTTCATTCATTTATACTTCCTTTTCAGGATTTTTTAAAAAGCAAATACTTCTCCCAATGGCCTTGCAATGGCAGGTAGAAATCCACCGGGTGCAGCTTCTAAGACTGAGTGGTTCAGATCTGAAAGAACGATCTGCATGATTTAGCCCAAACTTTACAGAAATTTTCCAAACTCCTAAAACTTGGGATGGGTGGGTGTTTCTCCCCCCATCCATGTCTAAGTGACTCCTGTAAAGTTCAAACAAGAACTGCAGTCTCTGATCTTGCTTGATTTTTCTCTTTCATTTGCCGCCGGTAGGTTTCACTCTCCACACATACACACACACTTTGTACAGCGCCTGGCGCATCGCCAGGACACTCAAGCAAAACAAACGGAAGCATTGTCCGGCTGAGCCAATAGCTGAAGGAGGCCGGGGATGCGTCATCGGTTGCTATCTGGCTCCCATAGCGGCGGGCAAGAAACGCCGGGGGTTTCCTCGCCGTCGCCTCCTCGAGCCGTCTTCGGCGCCCCCTGGCGGCAGACCTGCGCAACGTCGGAGAGAGGCTTATTGAGATGCTCTGCCCGCTTGTTCTGACACGCGGGAACAAGGGGTCGTTAGAACCCGCCATGCCATGCTTGCGGCTTCGGGGCGCTTTGAAAAACCTGACAGAAAGAAGGGCCTGGGGGGGGGGGATAAAAATGATGGGCATTACCCAAAGCCGGCTAGAACCGAGGCTGGTAGTCCAGATCCTACAAGCGGAGAGAAGTGAGCTCCTTTCTCCCAAGGAGACCCAAGAGAGGAGACTTGCCTCTTGGATCGCCTCTTGTTCTCCCTCCCCGAGAAATAATCCCACCGTCTCTTCTAGGTTTTCCNAAACAGCGCATATTTCCCCCCTCCCCGTCCACCCCTTCCAACAAAGGGGTCTCTGGTAGATCAATGGTGGGGCGTCCCCGATTCCCCCCCTCCAAATTTTAGGGAGGCTGCTTGTGATCGCAAGCCCGGCGGGGGGCCTCAACACCATCATCCACAGACCCCCGTCCCCCCGTCCGGCCCCGATGGCGGGAAGGGGGGGAAGCGAGGGCGGGAGAAGCAGGCAGGCGCTTTCGCTTTCGCGGGGCCAAGAAAAACGGGAGGAGAGGCGGAAGAGAAAGCGGCCGGCTCCCTCCCGATGGCGCTGCTGGACGTGTGCGGGCTCTCCCGCGGCCAGTGGGATTTGAACCCGGTGCCCGCAGCCT